AAAGCTTTTTGTTTGTTTGTTCATCTGTTTGGCTTCTCTCTTGAGTTTTGGGTGTACTCCAAGCAGTTCCTCATTCTCTGCCACTGTATGTAGTACATCCTGAGGCTTAGGAAAATCTATTATTAACCTATCAACACTAGCAATTGTCTCTCTTTACATTGAAGAATCCAAATGCATCACTAATCTGAGTCCATTAGCCTGTGTTCTGACTTCTAGATTTCTCCCTACAAATCCAAAAGAGAAAACAAAATCAAAAGCCCCGAACAGAGCAATTGAGAAGCCAGTATATTGTTACCTCTTTGGGGAGGAGGAGAAGACAGTGAAGATTAAAAAAAAAAAAAAAAAAAAACCTACAGTCTCAAAGTCTAATATATAGAATTCCATGGAACAAAGGCTATTTTAACAGCTAAAAGCAAAAAGAGTTACTTCAGGAAAAAAAAGAAAAAAAACAATGTTTTTGAATTAAGTTAATTTAAACCTAATGAAAATGTTCTCATGATCCCTATTTTATTTTTTTATTTTGTTTCACTGCAATATTCACCAGCATTTGAAAAGCACTGATCTTCCTTCTTCTCTCTCTAATTAGATAAGACTTAAGTGGTATTATAAGAAAAAAAAAGGTCAATCTATTTTAAAATAATTCTGTAGAACAAAATGGTTTCTTTTCTCTTTCAATTTTCAACAACTTTTGTATTGATTCTCATAATTTTTTAGCCAAATCTCACAACATAAATTGATGGTGGATTATTTTATTATATCCCCGGTGAACGCAAATGTAAATTTTCAATCTCCTTCGTAGAGATTAATGTTTAAACAGTATGAACACACCTCGATCCAGGCTCCTGTATTACTTTTAACTGTTTCTCCCTGGTACAATTTCTACTCAGCCCTCCTCTGTGCACACAGGCACAGTTCTGGGTAGGTAGCACATAGTGAGAGAAGCATTCAGATTTCATCTCAAACCTCCCATGGGTAATAGGACTATGCCCCCAACCCAACAAGAGAGGGCCCCCGGGAGCCACTCCAGCTTGCATGAAGAGCCTCAGAAGAGTTTTGATGTGACACTCATGAGGAGAAAGTTAGCAGTATTCCATGGGGCACATAGGGCACCAATATGGTGGTGAGTGTGCAATCCTTAGGATCAGAAGACATGGACTCCCACCTCCTCCCTGCTCATGCTGGCTATTTCTCCACTCTGAGATTCCATTTCCAGAACTATAAAATATTTATTACAATATGCTTACCTCAATTGAGTTATTCTGAGAAATAACAATTAAGTAGATGAGGCTTCAAGGACAGTGCCCAGCATGTGATTGCACCTCAGAAAACATATAGTGTTGCTCTTGGCCAGAGAAAATAGAATGCATTCCTTCCACTTGGTTTTATTTCCCTGTAACCTAATGTAAGAATTTTTAAATAGGTACCTAAGCAATGTCAGTTAAGCACTTTAGTATTAGACTTTTGGTATTGGTATATCTGTATATCAAACTGTTAGACTTTTGGTAGGATATCTTGCTTCAAAAATAGTGGTTTGATTATCACCAAAGTCCAAGGGCAAAATTACATTCTTATCATCTGTCTTTGAGCATAGACATTTCAATTTGGGCTCATTTTGAAGATGGGTGTATCTCCATGGCAGCAAGACTTTGTAGACTATAAAAAGAGACCATCAAATATGTGAGTTTCAGGTAAACGAACAGTGCTAATTCAAGGACTGGTAATAAGCTGATTGTTTTAAAGTACCCCTAATTTTCTAAATTTTAATTATATCAAAACTGAAATTTTTTATTCAACATATCTAGATAGCCAGAGGAGACATGATCACAAAATGCAAATAAGCAGGACTCAGATGGATTCACTCACATGATCACCTATGTTTGAGTTGTCCTTCTCTGTTGGAGACCATCAAAAGGCCCCTGGCATATTCCATGTCCTCAAGGGCCTCCGTCTGATGTACAGGACCTTCTGTTATACATGCAGTTTACTCAGATACCCAGAGATTTTGTTCCTGAAGTTTGCTTTGTTAGTTTCCTCTCTGTTGATGGGGCAGTTGCTGTGCTGCCAGGGTAAAAAAAAAAGACAATGTCCACTTTCGCCTCCTTGGGTTGCATTAATGTTAGTGAAGGATGCCTAAAAATGTTCATTAGATATGCCTCCATATTAATCACCAATCACTACAGATGTGCAATATCCTTGGATTTTTCACAGATGGTGGTGGTGGTAGTGTATGTGTGTGTCTGTGTGTATATCATACACATGAGCCATCAGGGCAGTGTTCATGGCACCAGGCACCAGGGAAGTAACATAAACAAGTCAGGGAACAATAATGACAAGAAAAGTGCCACATGGCTGACTTTTTATATGTTAAGTAAGTCTTTTTTTTAAGAAAGTTTATATTCACATATAACAGAAATCAAAGTTTTAAGATCATAATAGTTTTAAGATTAAAATCCTGAATAAAAAAGGCACCAACAACAAAATAACAAATTAAGCGTCCTTCAGAAAAAATAAGCACACCTCAAAGTAGGTGTTGCTTTTACATAAAAGCAAATCTAAACCTTGCCCTTAATAGATATATGACCTTCAGTAAGATAACTATCAAGAAATGGAAATGATTGCCTCATAATATTCTTATAATGCCATGAGCCATTATATGCAAAATTGCTTAAGACTTGACAAATAGTAGACATCCAATAAAAGGAAACAGCTGCTGTTATTAGTATCTTCTAGCCCCTTCCACCAAACACACACATACTCTCATGATGTTTGTATTTCAGATTTGGGTACACAGCCCAAATACCTCAACTCAGTGGAAAAAACTTTTATTGATTTATGTTTGGGTACTGTAGTATGGAATTAAAGGAAATACAGATTTGAATGTAATTTCTTTTAGGCAAAAATGAATGAGGGTCTTAGGATGTAATTCACTGTGGAGTGCTTTCCTAGGATACTTGAGGCCCTGGGTTTAATCTCCATCATTGAGAAAAAAAAGCAAAAAGAATGTAAGTGAAGGTAGTTGCAGTGGTCAAATGCACAATTCTACCATATGTGTACTACTTCTTACAAAGGAAGCTTCAGTTGACCAGAGTGATATGAAAATTAATCTAGAACATTCCCTGCCTTTATTCACCTGGACCCCTCACCTGGAATGTCTCCTGTTTTCACCTGTTGAAACTGTATGCTCCTTTTGTACACCCTCTCACAACACACTCTCTCTCTCCTTTTCTGATTCCTGGGACAATGGAAGAGCACATCTCACTTCTGGGGCTGTTTGCCCACTGTTTCAAGTTTGTGAATATAATGAACCAAATGATATTACAATTCCAAAAGTCACTTTTGTTGTATTTGTACACCCAAAGCACACTTCTGGACTAAAAATAGGTAATATTTGTTAATTGTAATCCTAAGGACAAAAAGTCAATGGCTACAAAAAATCATCATTTTACAAAAAATACTCAGAGGAACAAGCAAGTGAACATCTGAAAATAAGATGAGTAGATAAGATAGAGTTTTGAAGGCAACACACTTGCCTTCCTGGACAGATAAGGTGCATAATCTGCTCATCCACCATCTTCTGTGTGTGACATAATGAAGAAAAAGAATTACAGCAACATGAAAGACTGAGTCCATGAGCATAAGAGCCATGCAGCTTTTCTGGCATTGTGGGGGTGGGGGATGCAGAAAAGCATATTTTCAGTCCCAAGAGGGACTCAGGGAATGCTGTAAGGGCATTAGGCTCTGAGGACAGCTTGCTTGCAAGGACCTCCAGGAACAGACTCAGAACTCTTTAATAAGTATTCCAGGGAGTCCAGACTTTCCTGGAAAAAAAACAAATTAGTGTGAGAAGCCAGTCCTGTGCAATTTCAGTTTTAAAAATAGCCAGTATTGTTAAGGCTGCTGTGTGCATGAGAGGAAAAGAAAGACCTTGTTAATATTTGCCTCAGCTTTCTACATTATAACAGAAAAGCTACACTGAAATTCTTACTTGGCAAATATCGCAAAGGTCGTGAGGTTTCTATTGCTTGGAATTATTTTTGATCCTTCCAATGACAAAGTTGTAGGGGAATAAAGGATTTGTCTTTTTTTTTAATCAAGTCAGTCTTTGGATAAAGGACAGGCAAGTGATGGCTCTGTCTCTTTCACTTAGGACCAGAGTTGTCCCTCCCTGTCTGTTTCAGCTCTTTATTTGCCTAATTGCTCTCTGAGCCTGGGAGAGATGTTCCCTGCAGCCGAGGCTCTGCTGACTGCAGAGACCCTACCTGACACTCTAAGTTGGTGCGTCAGCTTTTTAGGTTGGAATGAATGAAAAATCAATCAGGATGACTGCAGTGGTAGCATACACAACTCTAACCTAATTTGTCCATAATTTTCAACTATTCACCATAGACCCAAGCAGTGTTTAAGATGGTAAGTGAATCTGAAACAAATGAGCTGCTTCTGCTTAATCAGTTTTTTTTTTTTTTTTTTTTTGTCCTCTTTTCTATTTAGAACAAGTAAATATAACCTGCTTAGGAAGCCACATGTAAAATGAATGTCGATGTCAATTTTCATGCAAATATTCTTTATTGGCTCTGTTTAAGATTCGGTTCTTAATTAGATCAGGTGATAAATATTCATATATAGGTGTATCTGATTACTGTTTTATTAACTTATACTCTAAATTCAGAGGGTTAAATGACTTAAGTCTATACATGTCCTTGGCACATCTTTTTGTAACTTGCTCTAACTATGTCAAAACTATAGTTTTAAATTTCTAGATTTACAATTCTGCAAAGATAGAGTTAAACACTATTTGGACTCTGGCTGCCTAGGGGGAACTGGAATTTTTCAAAGCTGCCTTCTTCAGCTCTCAAAGACAGCTACAGCAACTTTCTGAACAGATTGGGTTAAATATTTTTACAGACCCATTCTATGATGATAAGGCGGTAATAAGTTGTGCAGTGCAACACTCCAAAGGGTTCCAAATCTCACCAGCCTCTTTTTATGTGATGCTCTCACAGTGAGGAAGATCCTTTGGGCTACAAAGATGAAGAGTCTACTTCTTCTGGTGCTGATTTCAATCTGCTGGGCTGATCACCATTCGGACAACTATACTCTGGATCATAACAGAGTTATCCACATCCAAGGTAAGATAACACAGGTTCTCCTATGAAAGTTAAGTCAATTTCATGTTATTTACAGTTATAAGCTAGGTTAGTGCTTCTTAATCTTAGTTCTGCTGCACTGACTTCTCCTTTCCCTTTCTGTTAATTGGTGAACAACATTGAGCTGGGCTTTTGAATGCTATTGCATTACAGAAGAGTTAAGACTTGGGGACAATTAAAGTTGAACTGCTTAAGAATTTCAAACTGCAGTGGGTTGCTATAATCAACTTCAAGGCTTTTAGTGCAATTGCTATCTTCAAGTAGAATGGGAGGCATGAAGTTCATTTAAATACAAGGTGGAGGGAAGACATAGGAAGTGAAACTTGGGATGTAAGGTCATTCTGATACAGTAACTGTTTAATGTTTAAGAGAAACAATGTAAATAATATGAAAAATCAAAGAAGCTCTGGTTCAGTAAAAAGTAGCTTACCCTATTACAGTCTCTTTCACTGAAGCTTTAGTTTGCATAGACCCGTATATTGGTCCTGCATGTTTCTGTTGAGCTCAGCTAAATCCTCAGCCTGAGAGCTGTAGTAAGATTGGAGGCTGCAGTACAATGCAGCTCTTTCCTCAGTCCCAGCTTCAGATGAGGGACATCCTGCATTAAGAAAGCTCAGAGACTTATGCAATAAGAAGACAGTTCTAGGAGCTGTAGCTTCTCTCCTGTCCTTGTATGCTGAATAATTAAAATAAGAACTACAGAATTTAATTGTTTAAACATAGGATGGCATTAATTTTAGATAAACTCATTTTGGGGACCAGAATCATTATAAGTTTGCTAAGAGACATAAATACCAAGTTACATCTTCAAGGTCAAAAGTATAGTCTCAGAAAATTGTACTCGCTATTGAAAAGTATGACTTCATGAAGGTCAAATGACAGTGTAAATCTGACTAGAAGTATTTTCCTGTGCTTATTATGAGTACCAAAATAGAATTTCAAATTTGTCTATGTATAGCTGTTTTAGACCCATATCTTTCAGTTTTGTTTTCTTTCTATAATTTTGTTTTTCAGAATTGAATGATGAAAAGAAATTATATAATTATAAATTTTACTCTGCAAGCTGCTGACTCAACTATTTCATACACACACACACACACACACACACACACACACACACTCACACACACACCCCAAAGCAATTTCCCAAAGACTATAAGATTCTTGTACATTGCTGATGAGATTACTGATGAGAAATAATATTCTTTTAGCTTCTAGTCACAGAATTCAATCAGCTAAAATGATAATACATAATAATTAATAATGGCAGCTTTAAATCCAATGTAAAATAATCTTTATATTTGCATAACTGTGAATTCAAATTATTAGTAGATACCTAAGTTATATTATAAACTCCGTACAAACCATTTTGTCTACATTATACCCAGTATGTGAAAATATTCTATTTAAAAATATACTAATATTTTTAAAATGGCATCTATAAGACAAATTAAAATTCCATCAGCAGGGAAAACTTCTGCTGGTCTTCTCATTCCCATCTACTCCTTGAAATTTACTGCAAAGGGGTTTCTGACCCAAAGCATCAGAATTATCCAGATGATTTGCATACACTGTTCAGGTTTTCTCCAAAAGCCCTGATAGTCCACTTCATTTTAATTGTAAATTCATATTCTTAGAAAGTGTAGGCTTGCCTTGGAGGTTTGCTCAGAGCTTTCAAGTGATAGAACTGCAAAGCCTATATTTGCTTGTGGAAATTAGTTCTGAAATGTTGCTTGGGTCAGGATTATAAGGTTATATCCATATGTCAGGATTCATTTTGAATTCGCTTCAAATACCTGTTCTTATTACTTTTTCTCAATATTATTTTTCCTTTACTACAGTATTCAAATTGAAGTTTCAGATTCTCTAATTCTTCAGAGAAGTGATTTCCAAGTCATCTGCCATAATTTCATTTGTCTTTATACTACAAAAGTAAACAAAAGAGTAAAGCACAGTAGGAAAATCAATAAGCAAATAACCTTCATTACTTTCTTGAAGTACTAGATTATTTTCTCATATTTAATTAATCAAACATGGAATTAAGAAAACTGAAGAATTTTCAGTCCAATAATTTAATTATTCATCGGAATCTCAAATTCCTGAATTGTGCTGATAAGCAGTATGATCTTCTCTGGGGGGAAGAAAAATGTTCAAAATTCACATTACTGTAAAAACACCTTTTCTTTTTTTCATTAAATTTCATTTTTTTTTACTCTAACTTCCTTGGGCCTTCCTAAATAATAATGTGGGAATAGTGCACATTAGTGACTGACTTGGTACAAATTCACAGCGTTTTAATCATACATTCTTGAATCTCATGCATAAGAGTTACCTAATTACTTCTCTCAAGCCTGTCTCACAGTAGGATATTCTATAGAGATGGAGGCACACAAATGTTTAATCTGGCTTTAGATAGAAAAAGAGAGAAAAATATATCAGATAGTCAGAAAAGAAAATGGCAAGAATAGAACACTGGGCAGTGTTTCTAATGAAAAACACTTTTCTGAAATGAAAAAACAAAATCTTCTAGTTTCACTGGAGGAAGGTTTACTTTAGATAAAATTTTATGTGTTAATTCTCTTTGTTTTTTTATTGAATTCATTTGGTTACACAAGAAAACAAACTTCACTTATCCACAGAGTCTACTAATAAAAATGTGCTAATATCTTATTAGCTTGAGGAGTGGGGGTACATCTCAGTGGTAGAGCACTTACCTACCATGCAAAAGACCCTGGTTATCATCCCCAGCACCAAAAAAAAAAAAAAAAAGAACTATTAGTTTGTGTATCATGTATGTCCTCCATGTCAAAGGTCCAATGGTTATGAAGTTCTCAAATTCTTCTACAGGAAGAGGAATTCCTGGTAATACTGTCTCTATAACATTCTCAAATGGATTATATTCCTCATATCATGATAGGTCCAGTCAATCTTTAATTCATTTGAAACTTAAGATCATTAGGAAGACTTTTACATAAAGTACAATATCAGAAGAACAGTATTTTAAGTGTTTGAATCAGGTCCAACAATTCTTTGGATAGAATTTTGATTGCTAGTAAAATTTCAGAGATGATGAATATATTTTCTAAAATACAAATTTTAAGAAAATATTTACAGACAGCTAAGTAATTATAATCATAGTGAGTACATACATCTGTTTGACCTTATCAAGGTCATAATGTCCATGTTTCCTACATCTAGTGTTCAAGCACAGGTCTTTGATGATAAGTTCAAGAGTCTTTGTCTACTGCTACTTTCTAGCTTAAACTCCAGAAAATTTACTTAACCACTACAAGTCTAAGTTACCTCACCAATACAATGACCGAATCACTGTTTATTCCACACAGTTTTGTGAGAATTAAATGAGATAATATATGCAAAATTGCTTGGCACAGGTCTAGCACAGAGCAAGCTCCCAGCGGAGGATAGCTATTATCATTATGTTTATTTCGTTCACATTGTCATGGAAAACAGACTTCCAAAATAGATAAAGCATTATGAATATTCATGAAAAACATTTTTATGTGTTTCAAAATACATTTGTTGGCAGAACCATATCATCACTTCAGTTCTGATAAACACTACATGAGTTGCCTTCTTTCTCTAATTTCACAATTTAAATTTCCCCAACTTGATGCAATCACTTTCCTTGTAGAAACTGAAGCTTTCCAAATGTGTGTAATATTTTTCCTTAATGTAGTTAATATGTGAACACAGAGAAACTAGATGTTTATAGAAGGAAATCTCAGAACTAAAAAATGTTTCCATATATTATTATCACTTTTCTCAATTATTTTTTAAAAAAAGTATTGTCAGAAGTTCACCTGTATGGGTAGAAAAAACTAATGTGTATCAAGAAGCACGTAGAAGTGGACACACTTCCTCTGTGTGTCCCAGACCCACCCCTGCCCACTTCGCTTCACACCTGTTACTCTTTGCTAACAGGCCTCCCTCCTTCACCATTCTGATGGTCATCTTTGTCACACTCTGGTTGTATAGCAGTGCTTGGCATGCAGTGGGTGCTTAATATATGCTCACATTGACTGAACATATGAATGAGCGAATGTTATGAGACACTCCCAAATCACAGCTGTCATAATAAGGATTTCTTAAATGCATTGACATACCTTAGCAGCACTTGATACATCCTGTAGGCTTAATGAATATCAACTAGATAATTGCAATTATTCTCTATTGTTGCCATAAACTAAATGTAGTTCATAGGAATCAAGTACTTTACAGGACTTCAGAACATCTATGTCAGTCTCCCATTGAATAAATGGGGAAATCAAGATCCAGGAATTTGACACTGCTTGTCTTAGGTTACATGGCAGAGGAAGTGCAGTATCTCTTAGATAATTCCCTCATTTTCTTCAAATTTGGGCTGATTTCTCACTTTTTTAATGAAGCTGCACTGACGAGTACAATCTGTTTCCTCTTGGATTCCCAGTCTCTTTCATTCTGTTTTCCCTTTTTCTCTGTAGCATTGGCTAAATACTTATATTTATCTAAGTGATATCTGTCAAATATATGTGGTAGTTCCACTAGGGCAGGGATCCTTTTCTGAAATGTCCAGTCCCTGAAACCAGTACCTGCCACATACTATATGATCCATATGTTTGTTGAATAAATCCCATTATTTTATCATAATCAAGTTCTAGTTCAGTTGTTCAAAATCTGAGGGTAACCCTTCCAATTTTTGAAATGAGAGCAGTTAATGAGCAAGAAGATTATGAGTTTGAGTACCAATTTTGTTTGATCATATATGTAACTCCCACACTGATGGTAGCCTCTGCAGTCCCTGGCAGTCCATGACAGTCCACTAGTCCTTCCTAGTGTGTGTATGAAGGTTTGAAGAGTATTGGATTTATATTTGGTTACTGTAATGCTATCTTGTTCCTTATGTAATATCTGCAGAAAGGGAATCTGGTGGTGCAGAATGGATCAACAATGTGAAATGAGTTTAATAATGTATGTTTATGAAC